TCCTTTAGTACCAACCTGAGACTCTCTCAAACATCGAAGACCAAATAATTTAAAATTATTCTTAGAAAGGAGCATGGTTTTTAATTTGATGACCATTTTGTGAACTCTTGATGGAAGTTCCCCTGTATTCCAGCTTCCTGATACTGCTCTACTATTTAAATCTTGAAATGTCATGCCTACTCAGAATCTGGTAAGATTTACCCATGTTCTGCAACAAAAGAAAAGATCAGTTCTGATGTCTGAAAAATTATTTTCTGCTCACAAACTTTAATATTGACTTCTGTTGCTGAGAGAGAGAACAAAAGGATATGCTGGGGACAGTAGAGGCTGCCTTGACATGTGCCACCACTCCCTCCGTGCCCCACTTTTTGGATACTGAACTTGGTATCATTTCCTAAGGGAGCTTAATTTCAGAGGTAAGTGCTCTGCCCCCTTGCCGAGAGTCACATCCAGCTACAACCCCAAATCCAAAATGAAGGCATTTTAAGTTCCTAATATTTCTGAAAATATCATAAATCTGATTTTTTTTCTTGCTTTCAACAAATAATTCTGCAGTGTCAGGTGTTCTGAACTGTATATAAACATTCTGTGTTTTAATACACTGAAACCATCAATACATACAGTAAATGCAAGCTTACCCAGAGGTTCAATTGTATTGCTGTAGTTTTTTTTCAAATCACAGAATGTTGAAATTCTTTACTATGAAAGCTTCACACAATATACTTTAAACTATAGTATATCGATGATTTAAAAACAACATTTAAAAAATGAAAGATTTTGCCTATTTTGTTCAAATGAATATGCCCTAAGTTATGCTTCTCAGTTGTCCCAATTTATTTTAATATGAAAAAATCTAATCTCTGCTTGTAAAGCAGATTATGCATGTATTAAATTCTTTAAAATTAGAATATACTTAATGCCACATTAGTTCCAGGCATGCAAAGCAGGAGAAAGAATTATACACCTAAACAACAAGAATGGTTTTTAAGCTTAAGTTTTTACTTTGCTCCAATACTCATTTGGTAAAATAAAATTATGTACAATCTACCATTTAATGAAATGCACCGATGAATTACTTTTTTGCCAAATAAATCACAAAAGAAAATATTTTAAATGGGCGATATTTTTAATTGAGGAAAAAGCAAGGCCAATGCTTCGGTTCAGCTGTCTATAAAATTTGAACATCCTGCTCCTTTTTCCTACCTCATCCTTTCTTACCTCCAGTTGGTAAGGTATATTCCATTTTGCACTTCTAAGTATGCATTCTGGTTATTTCTCAGAATAATGCTGCTGACTTCCCTCAATTCAGGAGGAGGTCAGAGCTCATTTGGACTAGGGCCTAAAACATACAAGAACTGTAAGGCCTTTTGTCCTCAAGGTCCATGAGTACAAGTTCATTTATGGCAGCTTGCCAACAGTCGTTGCGCTTTGAGGTTGCTGCTCCTGTTTTCTGCCATGCCATCAGAGGACTACTGCCTCCACAGCTGCAAGTGTGTCATCTCCCACAGGCATTTTTTTTCCTATTAAATCCTCCACAAATCTTGTTTTCTCAGAACCTGGGATATAGTAGCTTTGTTTCCCTCAGTTATTGTTCTTGCTATCCAAAGACAAAAACAATTGGTGATTACTAACTGCTGTAAAACAATTGGTGATTACTAACTGCTGTGGGAATGGTTGCATAAACTCTTAATACATACATTTTAAAAAAATTTTTAAAAAAAGAAGGAAAATGCAATGGAACTGTCATTCATTCATCAGAAAGGGGATCTGTTACTGCAACAACTCTCACAGGCTGTGGAAGAGACAATGGATGAGGCTTAGCTAACCAAATTAAAAGGGAAGAAAGGGGAAGCAGAGCATCATATAGAAAAAAAAGACTAAATTCAGGCATATAGCACAGGCACTCCACCTGTGCTGCTCATCCAATATATGCAACTGTGGTTGGATGAAGTGCTGCACATTGAGTAAATGTCAGTGGATGTAGCAATTTTAGCTCACGTAAATGTTTAAAGGAATTTACTGCTGAGTGCACTAAGGTTTACACTTTGCCTGGAGAAGCGCAGAAAGGAGATGGCATCTGCTCTTCTATTTCACCATGAAGAGTTCTTGATGTATTAGAAAAGATTTGGCTTCAGAGAGGGCAGCCTTGCCCTTGAGGCAAAGCTCCTCCTGACCCCAGTGGAGACATTATTTGATCCACTCACTAAGGTCTGTTTTATGGGATAACGCTGGGAAAGTTCTTCCCATTAACCTTGCTGGAGTGGTGAGGTCGTGGCCTTTTCTTTATAATTGATGCAGTGCCATCATTTTAAAGGACAAACTAGAGGATAGGATACAGTAAACAGACAACTCGTCCTGAAGGGAAAACAGAAAGCTCTCTTGAGTGTTTGTTGTGTTATCCCTTATTTGAAATTCTGTTTATGTTGCTAAAATTTGCATATATTCTTTTTAATGAATACTACTCAGCTGAGAGACAGTGAAAGATGCAGATTGTGATGCTTGTTAATACCAGTTCATTAAATTAAGCCAGACCTGATTTGCAACAAAGCCCTATGTTCTTGAATTTCACAGACGGCCTCGAACTATTGGATTGTGTCTATCTGTTTAGCTGAAGTACTTGGGCAGCCTTCACTGTCAAGGTGTTTAGGTATCTCAGTGTCTGCTAATAGATTTAGTTGCACTGTGTCTTATTCATCAAATTTCTCTGTCAGCTGCTTCAGTCCTCAGTGCCTTTGGCAGTGTTCAGCACGGTGCTTTTTAAGGTTGGCTTTTTTTGTTGCTGAGGCAGGAACTCTGTGTCCATGCCCAAGCTACTGCCCTGCATCAGCTACAAGTGCCTGCTTCTCTACAATCATTTACTGAACTTCAAGGTGAACACCCTAGAAAAAATATAGAAGGTGAGTATTTTATGTGTCCATGTTGTCTTTTATGCCAAAGCCTACACTTGTACATTCCCACAGGACTTGGTCCCCTGAGTCATGTGCTTCAACAGGCACCAAGAGAGGAAGCCAGGACTAAGCTGTCAGGGCTGCTCAAAGGGACCTCTCTAGTCACCTCAGAGCATCATTCATACTCCACCTGAACAAAGCACTAAACCTTAACTTTGGCATGAATAGGAAGCAATGGCAAAAATGTGGGACATTTATTTTTAATAACTCACTTCCTTTATAACCTTTCCCTAGATTAAATATATCTATCTTTAAATAAGTTGGCAGCCTGAGGTCTTCCATATTTTAATACAGGATGTTTGTTGGACTAAGACAGAAATAGAAACACAAAATTTACTTGTGTGTGTTCAAACAAGTTTTGCTTTAGTGCTTTAAAATCTTTTGATTATTGCACGTAATTATGCCTATGGATCAAACCATCTAGAACAAAGTTCTCCATCTAGAAGAATTGTAACTCAATTAACTAATCATTTCTTCACCATGTAGAGTTAGAACTGAGTTCCCTGCCCTGCTACTCAAAGCCCTCTTTCCGTGACCATCATCTCTCTTGACAGACACCTGCTGCAGTAACAGCCAATCACTGCAAGAAACTCATGCTTGCCAGCAAATAAACTTTAACAGAAGCTGAGCTTTAAGGATAGGGATTCTCCTGCATTTTGGACAAGACTGGCTGAAAATCTCACCTTGTTTAAAAATTGTCTTTGAGTGTTCCCAAAACATTCATCACAAGACACCCAGAGATATTTCCTCTCATCAGATAAATGTGTACCAAGATGTTCACAGTTCCCTTCCACTTTGGGATATTTAAGGAACCTGAACTTGCTCAATCAAAGTTCACTAAAATGTGGAAGTTGATGCCTATCATAAAATAATTTCTATTTTTTAAATCATAGCACTTCTAACAGATATTTTATAATGAAAGGTAAACAAAAACAATTTTCTCAAGTGGTAATTATAATATTTTCTTCTTTCATCAAAACTTATGAAAACTTCATCTCAAAATTAAGCAGTCACCTGAAATAAATATGTACAAAACCCTGGCTCCCTATTCCACTTTTTAAAATTAAATGTCTGGACTCTACCCTATCCACGCTGAAAAAACTGTAGGTGAGATTCACCTTTCTTTTATTTATGTTTTCAATAAAGACATTTTGACATATAATCATTAGAAACATTCTATTATGCAAGCTGAGAATATCCAGTTTTATATTTGTAGTGTCACCAAAGGCCAGTTCTGCTTTTGGACTGTACCACTCTATTTGCACATCCCTTAAGTGTAAAACAAAATAATGCTGCAGTGTTAAGATGGAGCAACAAATTCAGTCATTCTTTAGGAAAAATAGTTTTATACAGAGCTAGATACCATGTCTTTCTAATTATTAGCACAAACAAAGAATATTTCTGGATTCCAGTAGTGCAAACTGCTTTGCAACTTGCACTCCATGTACTAAAAATATCCCTCTGATATGAGAAATAGCTCTTTCCTCTCGTTCCTGCTACAAAATTATAACAAACTCAGTATGATGGTACAGTATAGCAAAATGAGAACCTACAAATTAGTCCTTATATCAGCTATTTTTTTCTAATTTCTATGTATTTCTTTGTGTGCTTTCATATGGTTCCAGGAAAACACCTATAAATATCCAGAAATGCTCTCCTAACACAAATTCTAGAATCTGGGGAACCAGCCTTTTGCTGAGTCAACTGCTGTAGTGACATCCCAGAATAACATTGCAGTTTAATTCTAGCTATTTTTTAAACCTTATTACCTTACAAATTTAGGTAGCATCAATGAATTATAAATATCAGGGGTAAAATAAAATAGTAAAAAACATGCCAGCTGTGGAAAATAACAGAGGAAGGTACTATGGACTTCTACAAAAGCAAAATGGGAATGTCTCAATGTTGTTCTGTAGCACAGTCATCATTTAAAGAACAGAAAATCTTGGTAGGATAAGTTTGCTTAGATCTGGGTCAGCAAGAAGACACACATTAACCTGATGAATGTCGTGCTGCATTCAATGGACTATTCAAATGCACACTGTCACTTACCTCAGATGTGCTTGCAAACCAAAGCCACACGTAGTGGTAGGTAGTGTAGGTAGCATTCTTAAAATGGTCTGGGTGATTTAAAGCCTCACAGCCTTCTGACAATGCCAAATTTTCAGGAGGAAAAAAAAAAAAAAAAAAAAAAAAGCTCAGATTATCAAAACATTAGTGATTCCCTGAAATCTTCAGCCCCAAAGTAGGAGCTTCTGTCCCCAGTTAGATCTGAGGGAAATTTAAACCCCTTGGGAAAGCAGTGCAGTAAGAGCTCACTTGGGATGGCAAGAACAAGAAGACTCTGACAGAGGGCAACTTGGGCACCTACCTGTACTCAGATGGGTAATTCCTCTTACCCCATAGGATAAACAGGGTCTGTAAAAAAAAAAAAAAAACAAATATGGGTTTTGAGCTGCAGGTTTGTGGATGTGCACTAAATTATGTGATTAGGCATCTTTTTTGGAGATCAGTACTAATTCCTTTGAGCTAATTATCCTAAAAAGGTCTGAATTTCTTTTGCTGTGATTCTTCCTCTGACTTCAGGAAAAAAAACTATCATCTGATGCATTATATTTAAATACCCTTTGCATGAGATGAATATAAAATGAATAAAATAACCCAACTCTGAACTCAGCCTTGTTGTCATGCTGTGTGACACACACCTTTGCTACCTTCCCTCTCATAAGAAATGTAATCGACTTCTATTTTTATTTCTGATATTTTAACTCTGTTAATAGAGTTGTTAAAGCAACAGCATGGAACTGGACCTTTCAACATATTGAGGAATAAGTCAGATGAAGAATTAACATGTTGGGCTGTTCTTTGTCTCTTAAACAAGAGAGGTTAACATTGAATTCCTTGTAACTTAAATACAAACATGAGTACTGATGAGCATCACCCATGTACAAGAGTCTGTTCTTGATGGAGGAAGTAGTACAAAATACCTTTTTTCTCTTGCATTGGCAAGTAGCTCAATGGGAAACATTATAAAAGGAAATCCACAATCACCTTATGATCTTAGAAGTGGAATTTCTATACACACACACACACATGCACACACACTCATTTTTAACTAATCCGTTAAAGGACTGAACTCTAGGTAATCCCTGAGGGCCACTTGATTTAAACTAGCTTGTGGCATTTAGGAAAGGTCTTCTACCTTTCCTTGCTGAAGCAGACACATATAAAAGAGAACAATAACATATAAAAACATACATCTGCACTTTAAACACCAGGATAAATGCCACCTTCACCTCTGGCCAATGTCATGTTTTCAGTGGCATTTCTTACCATTTCACTAACTAATTCTGATCTTATACATTTATGTAGTGTTAAAGTGCCAAATGTTTGTATAGTGCTGGACTTCTTACAGTATACATGTCTATCCACAATGGGACAAAGTGAATTATGGTACTCAGCACATACATTCACTTCCCGTGAGTACTCCTCCATTCATTTTACCCAGCTACAACCAGCCTTCTTACCCAATACCCACTGCTGTAGAACTGGAACACCCTCCTCAAGTTAAAATGATGCCAGTTCTACCTGTCTCATCACCTTTCCTCTTCTGCTAAGTGATGCAAATGAGCGTCCATTAGGTATGCAACACGTGTCACGTATTTTAATACACTGTGTATCATTTCAGTATTTACTACTTTTTAAATGCATGTAGATGGAAAGGTAAACAATAAAAGAGGATGACTCCAAGTGAGAGTGATGAGTGCTACTTGATGAAAGAGGGATGAGGAGATGAGCGATGATGAATGGGAAACCTTCAGCCAACTTTCCAGTACTAATAACTTGCCTGCTCCTTGAACCCACACATTTTAAAGGGTGGCTTGAGAATATTGGTTCCCTCATTTTATGTTAAGAAAGTGAAGTGCAGAGAGAAAAGGAACTTTTCCAAAACCTGTTCAATACTCTTGCTGTTGAATTCAAGGTTGAGAAGCCACTATGACAAGTCATTAAGGATAACTATAATGTTAACTAGTGCTACCTTAGACAGCAGAATATACTTCACTTGTCTGTGCTGGTTTTGGCTGAGGTAGAGTTTATTTTCTTTATAGCAGCCAGTATGGAGCTGTTTTGCACTTGTGTTGAAAACAGTATTGGGAACTCAGAAATTATTTAGTTATTGCTGAGCTGTGCTTACACAACATCAAGGTCTTTTTTGCTTCTCATCACACCCCACCAGCAAGATAGGCGCTCATAGATATTCCAACTGTAGTTTTGGACACATATTCCTAAGGTAGATGTATTCCTCTCCATACCTCCCAGGTATGATCCATTGAAGGTCCTGGGTGGTATTAAGGACCACAGTAAAAAATATGACATTAGTTCTCTGTGGTGTTTATGTCTGTGTTTCTTGCCATGGAAACCAGGATCTGGGAAAAGACAGCAAGATAACCTGTTCATTTCTGAATCTTGCTCTAATCATGGATTTATACTCACAGATTAGGAGGTACTCTGAGGATCTGCAGTTTAAATACACCACTTGTGAACATGAGGAGCTTTAATAGAGCACAGCTGTGTCTTTACTCCGTTTCACAAACCGTTTCCTAGCCCGAACTAGCAAGAAGCCATGGGCTCCAGACACATGTTCGTCCTTGGCTTTTCTCCCCATAAGTTGTCCCCATGTGAAGCTGGGGCAGAAGAACTGGGGGTACAAAGTGCAGCAAAAATGGGCCATGGAGGTTGGGCCCTGCAGGCAATGATTCATTTGACACATGTTGAAGGCCCTTGACATGCTGAATATAAATCTGTATCTCCAAAGGTGTGGTTCCTGTTGGAAGGTCTACAACAGTATTAAATCTCCTTGGCAAAATGCTTCTAAAACAATCAACAAAAACTTCTTTAAATAAGCAAGATTGAGACAGCTATCCTCCTGAGAGTTTTCTTTATAGACAATCTTTGTGAGGTTTTCCTGTTTTATTAATCTTCATCTTTTGTGATACTGTACATCACAAAAAGCTGGAGAAGTAAAGAAAGAAGTAAATACCTGCAAATTTTATCTCACTGTTATATTAATTTCTCATAGCCCAACTATTTTGTTTTAGCAGACTCAGTTCAGTTCTAACAAAAATATGGGTTTTTTATAAAGAGAGCTTTTGTTCCTTACAACAGTTGACTCTTAAATTCCTTTTTTATAACAATAATATGGAATATTTTTCTGGTTTCTACATGTGAGCATTATCTCTCCATATTAAATAAAACATTTGCCTGTTTGTACGTATAGGTGTGCATGTATGCAGCTCTAGATAACAACTTTATGTGGATTTGGATTACTAGATCTAAACCTTTGCGTATAAATATGTGAGCATTGTCATATTAAATATTTATTGCATTCTGGAAACAGAGCTAAAATGAATGAAGACAAATATATCAAGTTACAGTTTAAAAATAAAATAATTACTTTCTATCATTAGACATGGTTACTTTGTATCTCAAAGCAGTATGTCACACTTGTATTTTCAAAACTAGCATTATTCTTATCATAGGCTTATTAAGAAAAAGGAAGTAAAAGTGCACGATTACTATCCAGAGGTTTTATCCACACCTCCATTCTTACATCAAAATGGGTTCTATTTTTCAAACACGTCTCTCTAATGCAATTCCAAAGTCCAAATTTAATAGAAATGAAAGGATGCATTTAATTTTCAGCCTTGAATAACTGTGTCTTTGAACAATACTAGACATTTTTAACTAAATAAGATACATACCTAATTATTTAAAAAACACAAACTACCCTGTGGCCACAAAAGAAATGCATTTTCCCATGACATATCAGAATAATTTTTTTTATTAATTCATAATCAGTATAACATTCCTGTCTAAAAGAAGTTGGCAGATTTTTGTTCATGGTTTCAACAAAGAGTGCATGTTGTTTTCATCAAAGGCTCCTCAACACGTAGAACCAGACAGTACAGCAGATGCTACTGCATCTTCATATTGAATTTATATTTTACTATAAAAGATGAACTTTGGTTACACATTCTTTTGTGTCAGAAATTACCCCTAAGCTCTTCCTCTGAGCCTCCCCTTCCCAGCCCTCCTAGTGAGGGAGCGGCGCTCACTGTGGGCCTGTCCCAGTTAGCACTTGCTACTTGATATGCATATGAGTCACCACCACCTAAAGTAGCTCATTTTAATATTAGGAGCTGGTACTACAGGCCATTTAAAAGAAAGTATTATGCTTCAACTTGTCCTATGAACAGAGAAGGAATAATAAAAAATGTGCAGTTCTGTGTATTTCAGCGCAGACTTTAGGAAGACTGACATAAATACTGTAAAATTTTAATTCATTGCGAACTTTATAAACTAAGATACTGGTATTTTTCCTTTGCCATCCATCCAAAGGACACTGGGAGGAGTGTAGAAGCTACATATGGTGAGACGTTTTTCCAAGTACAGTCTAAATACTGTGCTATATCACCCCAAGACTTACTCTGGACAGTGGTAAATATTACAGCTTGGCCTAAAGGGAAGAAAAGGGATGGTAGGGATGATCAGTGTGAAAGAGCAAGGCTGAAGTTAATTATGTCTTGTTTGATCTGCAGATCTCATTGAGATTTATTTTTTTACTTCTTGCAAGTCAAAACTTATTATGCACTGTGCTGTGAGTTGATGAAGGCTTGGGTCAAACACAGCTGGCAGTCAGGTAGCCAATGCTGTCACAGCTAGCCAGTTGCTACAAGCACCCTGTGATTCCAGGAGCTAGGTCCTGTGCAGGAATCTTTCCAAAATCACCACTTCCTGCCTTTTATTCTCCCCAGGTCCCAGACATATGACTTCCACAATATTTGTGGCTGCGTTTACCTTTACTTCTTCCTGCTGTATTACTGCCTCAAAGAGTAGGAAATGTTGCTTCCTCTTTCCTCTCTGTTCAGAATTCCCCCCACAACTGTGTCTTCTGAAAATTGTCTCTTGCCTTCCTGCCTAGCTTTGAGTTCTCCTCTCTTAGCTCACTAAGAACCCCTTGATGGATACTCAATAAAAGTTACAGAATATATTCACAGGCATTAGACAATGGCTCCAGAAGGTGGTCATCTGCTCAAACGTGGGACACTTGTGCCAAGAAGAGACAATGTCCACTTAAAATGTTAGGGAATTAAGCATCCAGTTAGAAAGCACCCATCTCTCACTTTATTTATTTCTCTCCCTGTTGATCCAAAATAGAGTCCTGAAGAGTGTATTGTACTGATTGAGGAGAAGCAGAAGCACATCTCACCCTCTCTCTCTTCAAGCAGAAGGATGATAATCAGCAGTTCTGCTGATGCTCCCTAAAAGTATTTACTTGAACAGAAGTATGGCCCTGGCTGGGCTGCCTGTTTTCCGAACTGTTAGAATGTGTGCACTGTGCTGTGTAGGCATTCTGCCA